AGGACGAGGAATGAGGGATATCATTGCTGATGTCAAATGGATCTTGGCCAAAAAGCAGAGAATGTGACAAAGATGTTTACTTGTGTTTTATTGATTTATGCAAAGTCATTCGACTGTGTGAATCACAACAAATTATGGATAACATTGAGAAGAATGGGAATTCCAGAACACTTAATTGTCCTTATAAGGAGCCTGTACATAGACCAAGAGGCAGTCATTGTTCAAACAGAACAAGGGGATACTGTGTGATTTAAAGTCAGGAAAGCTGTGCGTCAGGGTTGTATCCTTTTAGCATACTTATTCAATCTGTATGCTGAGCAAATAATCCGAGAAGCTGGACTATGTGAAGAAGAACATGGCATCAGGATTGGAGGAAGACTCATTAGCAACCTGCGATACGTGAATGACACAACCTTGCTTGCTGAAAGTGAAGATGACTTGAAGCACTTACTGATGGAGATTTAAATACTACAGTCTTCAGTATGGATTACACGTCAACATAAGGAAAACAAAAATCCTCACAACTAGACCAACAAGCAACACCACGACAAATGGAGAAAAGATTGAAATTGTCAGGGATTTCATTTCACTCGGATACACAATTAATAGCAGTCAGGACATCAAACAATGTACTGCATTGGACAAATCTGCTACAAAAAACAAACAACAACAACAACAAAAACACCTCTTTAAAGTGTTAAAAAGCAAAGATGTCACCTTGAGGACTGTTTCATTCTGCTGTGCATAGGGTCACTATGAGTCGGAGACGACTTGACTGCACCTCACAACAACACTGTGAGGACTACAGTCCACTTGACGCAAGGCCATGGCATTTTCAATCGCCTCATATGCATGCAAAAACTGGACGATGAATAAGGACGACCAAAGAAGAATTGCATTTGAGTTAGGGTGTTAGTGAAGAATATTGAATATACCTGGACTGCCAGAAGAATGAACAAATCTGTCTTGGAAGAAGCACAGCCAGACTGCTCCTTAGAAGGGAGAAGTTGTCTGGATGTTCTTTGGACATGTTGTCAGAAAAGACCAGTTCCTAGAGAAGGATGTTAGGCTTGGTAAAGTGGACGGTCAGTGAAAAAGACTAAGACTCAATGAGATGGGTTGAAGAAGATGGGGTCCAACATGGCAATGATTGTGACAATGGTGCAGGACCCGGCAGACTTTCCTTCTGCTGTACATCACGTCCCGTTAGAACCAACTGGACCGGCACCTAGCAACAACAGCACAGACCAGGCCATTCTTAGAGGCGTTCATGGCTACAGAGTTTCTACTTGGGACCAGAGAGACCAAAGAAACCAAACTCACTGCAGGCGAGTTAGATCTGACTCATAGCGACCCCTCCTTGGGTTTCTGAGGCGGTATCACTAGGGAAGTAGATGCCCAGTCTTCCTCCTGAGGAGTGGCTGTTGGGTTTGAACCGCCAGGCTTCTGGTTAGCAGTCAACTGCCTTAGGCACTATGCTACCAGGGCTGCCCTAGGCTACCAGAGGTCCCCAAGGCTACCAGAAGTCTCCGGGGCCAGAAAAAAAGATCTGGAAATAGATTGAGGGGGATGGTTAGGAAATATTATGAACTTACTTAAGGCCCCTGAAGTGTACATTCCCAAGTGGCCAAAATGGTAACTTTAGTGTTATGAATATTTTGTTGTTGTTGTTGTTTGCCATCAAGTTGGCCCCGACTCATAGCGACCCCTCCTTGGGTTTCCGAGGCAGTATCACTACAGAAGTAGATTGCCCAACCTTCCTTCCGAGGAGTGGCTGGTGGGATCGAACCGCCAGCCTTCTGGTT